AAAATTTAAATCCCATAAACTGGGCCAGACTACCGTTCAGTGACTTCATCATTGACATTAGTCATATTGTCCTTTAGTAAAAGTAACCAAATGCTTATGATAACAGCGCTTGCTGATTCACGCAATGTCGTCTCCCGACACAAAAAAATCTATCCATACCGTAAATACTCAATATAAAACTCTAATAACTCATACCCATGCCAAGACCATGATGATCAAAGTTATCAGAATTACTGTGAAATCTCTCATAATTCAATCTTCTCGGCCACATTAATTCCCTACACTCCCCCCGCCTACCTCTATTCCCTTCATAAATGAATACGCTCCTGCAATGCCCAGCGCGACCGCAGCCATCAGAGCGCCCACGATGTTACCAACACTCGCATTACTCGACCACAAACCGAATAACATGCCAGAATGTGCTGGACTGACGATGCCTATCTGGCCGTCAGCAATACTGGTCGGATCAGAATCCTCAGAAGTAGTGCTAGCACTGTCATAATCATCATCATCATCATCGATGAGATGGTGCACGGGCGTAAGCCAATTTCCCACCAGCTTAACACAGGCTGGCCAACATAATGACTGAACCTGAGAAATCGACAAAATAGCGCGCGCATTTTTAACATTTTCATATCAAGTTGGCACGTACTGTATGAGGAACTGTATGATTATGTGACTTAATATTCTCCTTGGAATTCTTTTCGATTCGAATTTCCCCCAAGACTTTTCTCGAAAACCCGCAGGAATACCAAACCCTCCTACTACCAAACCGTTAAGTATCCATATGCAATACAGAGCCATTTTGAACTCCCAAGTCACCGCAGTTCTCAACACGCACAATACAGCAAATAACATCTGCGCCACAGTAGTCAATGCCAGGCCAACACTGAGTACAGTAGACGCCGAAAACACATCTCCGAGTCTTCCCGCTAAGAGAAGCCCAGATGAATATGAGAGCATAAACATGGTATCCAAAGCAGCTAAGGTCGTTGTTGGGAAAGAGTCCGGTCGGGCATCTTGAAGAGTCTGATTACAGAACACGAGTAGCCTCGGGCGAAAATTCTTCAGTTGAATTAATGACATAGTCTTATTAAACTGATTCTAAAATGCATCAGAATCCACAGATTAATTCACAGAAACAGAATAAAATCTAATTTTTCCCGCTATTATTTTTTATATACCACGTCATAGAAAACGTTGGGGTTATTCCTATCCAAACTTCTTATCAAAAATTTCATCTCGCTCAAATGGCCGATTTTACATTAATACCAATCTGACCTATTTTGAATCCTAGTCGCTCAACCATAAGATTCCAACCAGCCCCCCCATTATGCTACCGCTTTCGAGTTCGAGAAAGCCTTCCGTGCCGCATGCAGAGCCGCATAACTGCAAAAGGTCACCACCAACACGTTGACGCGCCCACGATGCAGGGTCGAGAGCACCTCTCTACGATTCTGAGATAGCGCATGGTCAACCATTAAAAACTAGAACCAAGGTTAGGACCACAAGAACAATAGAACCTCTTCAATGCTAGAGTATACGGTAAATATGTTAATATTAATATATATTAGATTAAATAATATCTTAGATAACCTAATATTAAATATAAGTATATAGTATATTCCTAATAATATTATAAATAGTAAATTTATATCAGGTATTAGTATTAGGATAATTAGTGATTAACTTGAGACTTTAGACTTTTCCGCTTCGAAGGTCAAGTATGGCGGATAACAACAGTGCGGTAACCCATGGATTTTT